AGGGAAACATGGAGTTCCTAAAGCAAATTCTACAGGATATCTTTGTCCCACCCCACTGTCACCAAGCTGACTCCAACTCATAGGAGGAGAAATGCTCTGTAAGGTTTCCAACACTGTTAACTCTTTACTGGAACAGCCCGTCTCATCATTTTCCCAAGGAGCGGCTGATGGATTTGAACCCCTGACCTTGCAGTTAGCAGCCCAGTACTTAAATCTATTAACCCACCAGCAGAATAGTCTGAAGGTGCACAGCACAAAGCTTCCTGGTATCCTTCCACATGTGCAGTGAGAAAATGCTCACAAGTAGTCAAAGAATAGGTCCCTAGCTATTTACGTTTCCCCAGGTTCACCTACACCGTAGATTTTGAATCGTAGGTAGGTATGCCTTACTTCTCTTTCCCAGATTCAGTGTGTCGCATCCCACTCCAGTATTCCATGGCAGCAAAGTCTGGGAGAAACACTGTTCTACAGCAGACTCTAGACACGAACATCTTCTCAACAGTTTTTTATTTTAAGTAGTTAGTAGCTCTAAATGCAACTTCTAATAAGTTCTGGGTTACTGAATTCTGCTTTTAAATCAAAACTTAATGTTTTGTAGACTCACATTTGTAGATAAAAGAATTTCAACTCTGTATCATACTAAAAATAATTCTACAACATCTTGGCTAACAATGAGCATCTCATATATCAGGAACCCATCACACTGTAGGATCGGTGACAATGTACTGGGTAGGTACCTGCGTAAAACGCTGGGCTACTCAGCAAAAGAGATGAGGCAGTGTGCTTCCACAAAGATTTACTGCCTCAGAAGTGCCACCTAACAGTTCTATTCTGTCCCATAGGATGACCATGGGTGGGAGTTAGCTTGAAGGGCTTGGTCATTACTCTGGACAGCTCTGACAGACACTGGATCATCTGTTATGTTGAACAGAGATTGTGTCTCCTTGAAATCTATTAATTGCTCTAACATCTATTCCTTTTGGCAACACAGATTGATTAAACTACTTCGTTCACGGGACATTCCTTCGAGCAATAGACAGAGGTTCTTCAATTAGAATACCATCAGCTCTACCTTCTTCCTGCCCTGCAGGCATAGGACCCTTCTTCCTTATCCAGAGTAAATATATTTTCCAGTTCCTCTAATATTTCTCAAACCTTCAGTCCTCCTCAACTGCCTATCTATATCCTCTTTCAATATGACACCCAGAAATGACCGGATAGTCCAAGTGTGCTATACTTTTGCTTTTAAAACCCTTTAAATAGATGAACATTTAATATAATGAAAAGATACGCATTTCAAGGCATAACATCTTCATTAAAGATTACTTAAAGTTTAAAGCATAACATTTTCTAAAGATCATTGTAAAGAACTCTAAATCAACATCTAACACTTCAAAGAATTAACTCTTCTTCACACAGTCAGCCTTTTCCAATATTAGACTAGTTTTAAAAAGTGACCCACCTATGTGAAAAAGCAATATAATCCAGACAGGAATTGAAACTGCTCTCAAGTAGCGCTCAGTGCTTGCATTCCACTTGAACGAAACAGCCAACACATAGCCAACTACCAATGTCCAGATCTTAAATAATAAAATAGAGACACAAATGTAAAATACAGACACATGAAAACAGGCAAACAAGTATCCAAACTGTGCAGGCGTCTCTTACAGCATGAGCGCTTTATAAGCGCCACTCGCTAGGGGAAGGTTGGTGCCGCCACCCAGAAGGTGCCCACCCCCTGCCCTGCTCAATCCAAATTTTAAAAAAGGCAGGCAGCTGAGAGGTCTCATGCTATGATGTTACTTAAATATCTTCACAAAAAGTAAACAGTTTTAATTTGACAAACACTGCAGTTGAAAAAATTCATACTTAAAAGTAATTACTTAAGATAAAACATTGGATTTTATAGGTCATGAACTTATTAAGAGTCTCATTCTGTGAAATTTCTAAATGTTTTCTATAAATTAATGTTTAGAAAAGGAAAAAACAAGAAAGGCTTTCCCAAAAGCATCAGGTTAAAAGATCCCAAGTCAGCCTAAAAACCACATTTGCTGCTGTGAGGACATTTTTAACAGCAGGAGGAAGCAGTGCTGGGCCCTGCTAAGAGTCTACGTAGCAGATGCCAACAGCCGAGCCCGGCGGTACAAGCGCAGTTGAAATGTACCTGAGGAAAAGATTACTGCAGGAAGAAACAGGGGCATCTGGCAGAAGAAATGCAAGAGTCAGACAGGGTGTCCTCTTCAGCTTTCCCACACAAAAACGAAATGCCTCTAGAGCTTTAAAAAACACTCCACACACACACACTGCAGCCCACACAGAAAGTCTGCACTAACATTTTACATAACATAATACAACTCTTACATTTCAGAGAAGCTTCACAAAAGAGGGAAGGAATACATAATCTAGAGAAAATCTGAAGACCAAGAAATAATTCATATAATTGTACTAAGAAGGGGTAAAATTCAAGTTTGACCAAAACACACCAATAAACAAACAAATAAGAGGGGAATTGCGGAAAACAACTTTATAATTCAGAGCATAAAGGGAAAGAAACAGATGTGATCAGTCATATCTATCAATAAAAATAATCCACTGGTCTTAAAAATGTTTACAGTTTCTGATTTTGGTATTGGGTTTACTGAATCATGACAAATTCTAAAAAAAACATTTAGATATAAACCAGTTCAATGGAGTGTCATTTGGAACACTGTAAAGTGTACTACCTATAAGTTCAACAATTGGCAAATGGTTAACTATTGATAACTGCCTCAATAAAATATTATGCAACAATTACATCAGGTCTGTTAGTTTTAAAAAGACTGCATGGTTTCAAAGTATCCCTAATATCATATTATTAAGGAAAAAGTTGTTGTTCGGCTCCTTCAAGTCAGTTCCAACTCAAAGCTATCGTACACACAACAGAACGAAGCCCTGACCGCACGGGCGCCATCCTCACAATTGTTATTTTGAGCCCATTGCTGCAACCACAGTGTCAATCCGTCTTATCCAGGGTCTTCCTCTTCTGTGCTGTTCTTCTACTTTACCAAGCGTGATGTCCCTTCCAGGGACTGGCACTCATGTATGTCCAAAGTAATTGAGATCAAATCTCACCGTCCTCGATTTTAAGGAACCCTCTGGCTGCACTTCTCCCAAATTTGTTTGTTCTTCTGACAGTCCATGGTATTTTCTATATTCATCCCCAGCACGACACAAACGCACAAGTTCTCCTCTGGTCTTCCTTATTTCTTGCCCTGCATTCACATGCGCACGAAGTGATTCAGAATACCATGGCTCAGGTCCGCCGCACCTTCGTCTTCAAAGTGGTGTGCGTCCTTGCACGTCAACACCAGGGAAGTCCTGTGCAGCAGATCTGCCCAATGCAGCGTGTCGTGTGCTTTCTTGACTGCTGCTCCCATGACCCCTGAGTATGGACCCAAACAAAATGAAATCCTTAATAACGTCAATCTTTTCACCGTTTATCGTGAGGTTATTTATTGGTCTAGTTGTGAAGATTTGGGAGTTTTCTTCACATTAAGTTGCAATCCACACTGAAGGCTGCGGTCACTGATCTTCACTAGCCAGGGCTGCAAGGCCTCCTTGATTTCAGACAGCAAGGCTGCGTCTTCTGCATCTACCGTCGGTCGTTAATATGCCTTCCTCCACATTCTTCCTCAGACAGTCCAGCTGCTTAGACTATGTGCTCGGCATAAAGACTGAATTTAAAAGGTGAAAAAGAGACAACCTCTATGCACAACTTTCCTGATTTTAAACCAGGCAGTATTCCATGTCCTGCTCAAACAAACTGCCTCTTTCTTGGTCTATAGGGTGAGCGCAAAGAAGTACTGGGGAATTTCCATTCTTTTCAACGCTTCCCATAGTTTGTTACGAGCTGTATCGTTGAATGCTTTTGCACAGTCAATACAAGGAAAGAGTAGAATATGAAAATACAACAGGACTACAATTATCTGGTGAAGGGAAAGGAAAAAGAGTAAGTTAGTGGCTGCACATGGATGATAGGGCGGTTTTACATTTCACTATTTCTCTGTATCTTCCAAATTGTTTTCAATGGGTCAATAGTTTCTATATAGTAAAAAATATTAAAAATATATTTCTTGAAGCAACTCTCAGATGAAATACTGAAGAGAGCTTAAGTCTTGGATACATAAGGTTATGGAAAATGAGCCTACCACTGCTTCAAAACGTTCTAGCTTATAGGAACAAGCATGACCCTGGAAATTCAGAGACTCTGAAATATGACTGTAGCATGATTTCCTTTGAGAGGAAAATCTGGATATAATCGTATATCTACATAAAACTGACTATGGACCATGATGTATTCACTTCATATTATACAATGGGGGTACCAAAAAAAGGAGGAATTATTTTATTTCCTTTATTTTCAAAGCTATGTATTTAATTTTTTTTAAAAACAACCTTAACACTTTCAAAGTACTCTCCATGACACTTCGTACATTTGTCAAAGCCGTAATTCCAGTCTTGGAGACATTTTTCACACTCATCTGTTTGGATGACTGACAGCACCCCCCTCATTTTTTCTTCACCTCTTCTCTTCGGCAAAGCCCTGTCCTTTCCTAGTCCTCTGCATTCTCAAAACAGAAAGAAGTCACGCAGAGTGAGTTCAGGTGAGTAAGGTGTATCGAGCAAGCTGGAATTGATGTGATGTCAGTGAGTTTAGTAGTCTATTAAGGGTGTGATACCATTATGAAAAAGTTGGAAATACTGTAAAAATTAAATACTGTTGGTAAAATGATATTGATAGGCTCTAGGCAGGGTTGCCATAAACCTTCACATTGTAAAAAATAGTATCTGCAAAGCACAGTAAACAAAACAGATTTTGACAACTATAAATTACTGAAATAAAATAATCATCAGCAAATGGGTGATATCCAATGATATGTCATACAGGTGTCATAAGCCCTGCCTAAGCAGCACTAAATAAGTAAATTAGCGGAAAGGCTATAAGTTTCATCCTAATCTCAGAGTAGTTAATAACAATTTGTAATTAAATGAAATCAGTTAATAAAAATTATACAATGGGGACTCAAAAAGATATTCTGAAGTTACAACGATTGGGGCTGATTCAAGTAAGATTGAGTTTAGAAATAGAATGAACAGCTTTATGTTCAAAACCACAACTGTACCACTTCAGAAGGGGAAGGTAAAGATTACATCTGGGGTGAGTGCTTATTGATAAAAGTACCACATTCATAGCAGGGAACATAAGTGTTTCCATGAACGGTGACCAGATCACTTCACATGTGCAACAGAATCCAGTCCGGGAAAGGAAACAGAAATCACAACATAGGAGAGATAGTTTACAAACTGTCTAGTGTAGAAAAAAGAAGGAAATATCAAGGTTTCATCACCATCTTCAAATAATTAGGGGGGGAAAGTTACCTTGAAAAGGCTTTAGAATTAAATAATGAATGGGAATTAGAAAGCAACACACAGGAGGTCAAAAATGAGGATAAATGTTCTAGTAAACTGTAATCCACTGCCACTGAGTCAATTCCAAACCACAGCAACTGTATTATTGGAGAGTCGAACTGCTACTTAGGGTTCCCAAGACTGTAAATCTTGATGGGAGCAGGTAGCCTCATCTTGCTCCCGTGGAGCAGCTGGGGAGCTCAAACTGCTGACCTAGGAGCCACTTAACCCACTGTGTCTCCAAGAATGGAAGGAACTAAGATGAGTAAAAGCGTCTGCACTAACCTTACGTCAGGACGGCAACGTAGGAAATGACGCCCTCAGCAGGCAGCTAGGCTAGATTACAAAAAAGGTTTACGCCTATTATACTTTTTTTCCCCATGATATTTTTTAACTCCCAGAGGTTTTTTTTTTCCTATCTGTATTCTTGAGGAATTAGTATCACTTATAGGATAAGAAAACAAATTAGAGACTGTATATTTCATATTTCTAAAGAGAAACTCATGTTCTCAAGAAAATCATGTACTGTTTTGTTTTCTTTTGTTGCTTTGTTTTGCTCTGTCTTGTTTTTTGTGCATCGTATTCTCTCTGCAGGTCTAT